CTGTTGAGAAAATGCAAAAAAAGATAATTTGAAAAAGTATAAAAGTTATATAAAACACAAAAGTCACAGCTGTTATGTCCTGAACAAGCTGATTTATTTTTCAAAATAGCTGAACGTTTGCTGAGTCAGCATAAAACTGATGTAAGAACAGAAAACTTTTTATTCTGTAAAACGATGTGAGCTACGAAGCGGTCAGGATTATTTGCTCACGTCGTCCAGATTAGGTTAGTTTGAGTGGCAGCTGTGCAGTCTCTGCTCCTGGTTCATGAAACTGGTTGGATCCTCCTCAGGTTGGAGGGACAAAGGCCCGGCCCTGTGGGACCCCCGGCGCTGTGGGACCCCCGGCCCTGTGGGACCCCCGCCTCATGAAACACCAACACCGTGGACGGCCCGAGTGGGGCTACCTCCTCCTCTCACTCTGTGCGTGCACTTTTACAGCACCACACATATATTTCCTGTTTGCACGTTAAAGATCATAAATTACAGTTTATATTCTAGTTGGTTTTGATCTTTACGATTTATGAGCTCATTCCAAAGGATCTGTCTCCATTACACGTGGACCCTTTTGAAAATAAATTTAATTTTCCCATGGATTCACCTTTTGAAAAGCTGTGTGTGATTAAAGCAGGTTTTCTCAGACCGTGCCCCCCCCTCCTGTCCAGCACCGACTGTGGTGACAGTTACAAACTGCACGGTACGTGTAACATTATCTCCGTAAAGCTGGTTTTCATCCTGGACGTGGATTATCGATCATAAAAAGACACGAGTTATTTCATTATAACGAGCCGCAGCGTTCTCCTCCGTGTTGCTTGGAAGGTGAGACGTGGAGATCAAGAGGCTGCGTGTTGATCCCAGCTCAGGAACGGAGAGCCTAACAAGTCCGTGTGGACGGGCCCGGTCCTGCTGACGCTCCACAGCTCCCGCACACGCGGACCCTGCGCCCACTCCCAGCCGACAGCCGTGTGAAACACATCCAGTCCCTGTGGAAGCACCGTCCAAGCCCTGTGGTTGAAACGAGGCTCACGGAGCCATCGTTGAGCTGGTTGGGAAACACGCCTGAAGGCTCCTGGTTCCCAGCGGAAGACGGCTTGTTGTGGTCTGTCTGCTTTCAGAGACGGCATGACGGCTCCTGGACTGGTGCTCCTGGTGGAGCGACCCAAGGGTCCAGGCGTACTCGCTGCAAGGTCCAGGTCCGGACAAGAGCGCACATCTTTTTTTACATTCAGAGGGAAACCAAACGTTGTTGTCCACAGCTGTGACTCACAGCTGGCTAATGTGTGAGGACGCAGAGTTAACACTGAGCATAAAGTAACAACATTATTCAACATTAACACGTTTGGTTTTTACAGAAAATGTTTTTTTTTATTTACTCCATTAATCCCCAGTGGGAAAACTAATTCTTTGCATTTTTCTCATTGCACATGTGGAGCAGAGAGCTGCCGGTACCCGAGGAGCAGCTGGGGGCTAAGGGCCTTGCTCAAGGGCCCGAGTGGGGCAAATGAGGGTGGAGGCAGGTGTGGGTGTTTCACCTTTTCCACCCACTTTTTCATGTTGACGGAACCGGGAGTTGAACCCTCCTGTCACAGGCCCACCCTGTCTAACCTCTGCACCACCGCTCCCCCATAGTAGCATTTTAGCTTCTATGTCTGGAAGAACTATAATATCTTGTTGCACTTTATAATAATAATAAATTATGATTTTATTCTGAAAGTGACATCAAAGATTACTTTTAGAACCCGTACAACGTTTGATTTAATTCTTGTCTCGATGTTCAACTTTACACGTTTTCACTTCAGGTTTAAACACATTGAATGCATTAGAGCTAAATTAAAACTCCTTGAACTGCCCCGTGATGTTTGGACCCCCCCCCCCCCCCCCCACACACACACACACACACACACACACTCTTTTTTAATCTAGTTCAGTTTAATTTCCACTGAACCTTTATGGTGGAGTGTTTGCTTGTTTCGTTTCTTTTATTGTACCTGTTTGTTAGTATGTGTGATTTTTATGAATTTATTATATTGTTGATTTTTCCTGTTTGTTTGTAATCAGTTCTTTTTAAATGATGTTGTCATCCTCTATAATCTATTTTCAGGGATTTTTTGGGGGGTATTTGGAAGACATCACTCTGTAAAATATGAAATGACAGTAGTAGTAAAAGTATTAAAACCAGTATTTTAACAGTAAATATTGTGGTGACACTATAGCTAAAATATAGTGATTTATCATAATTTAGTGTTAATAAAAATATGGAACATGTTTTATTGTGGGGGGGGGGGGGTGTCATGTTTTTGTGTGACTGTATGTGTGGCCCTAAACCCCCACATGACACAAACAATGCACACAGGCAGTGCATGCTGTCTATAAAAGTGCAATTATATCATGGCGTTAGGCAGTAAACAAATAAACAATAAACAAATAAACACAAACTTGTGAATCTGATTTACAAAACTCATTAACATCAGAATTCTGAGTATAAGCAAATGTAGCATTCATAAAGCTTTTTAAAATTAATTTGATTTGGACCTGCGTGTCCTCTAACAGCCATCAGGGGGTGCTGCAGCACCTTCAGCACCCCTGCCTCCCACTGCTCGGAGTTCCATCCATCCATCATCTTTAACCGCTTCTTCCTTTCCGGGTGCTGTGGATCACTGGTGCCCATGTCCTGCCATCACTGTGGGAGAGGTGGGGGACACCTGGACAGGTCTCCAGTCCATCACAGGGACACATAGAGACAAACAACCATTCACTCTCTCTCTCACCTAGGGACAATTCAGAGTCACCAATCAGCCTAACATGCATGTTTTTGGTCTGTGGGAGGAAACTAGAACACCAGGAGAAAACCCACGCAGCACGGAGAGAACATGCAAACTCCACCCAGAAAGGCTGGGATTTGATCCAGCAACCTTTTTGCTGAAAAGCAACAGCTCTACTAACTGAGCCACCGTGCCGCCCAGCTCTTAGTTTTTTCATGTAAAACTTGATGCAGGAACGGTTTTAACTTGAGCTTTACAACACGTTGCATGAACATAAACAACCATCGACTGACAGAAGTGTATTTTTCTTACATGCAGCTTTAATTTATGTAAATTTTAGAGAAAACATTATATGTACAATTGTAGCCTATCAATATCTACACATTTATTCTGGACTGCTATCGTCCAGCATGTACATCTGATTATCATCTAAGCTTCCTGCACCTCAGCTAAACAACTAAATTATCATATTTTCACTAATTATCATAAACCGTACAGAAAGTGTGTCCCTCATCATCTGAGTTATAAATGTTTACTGCTCCAAGTTGTCCAATGATCCAAAAGTGGATTTTATCAGGGCTGTGTTCTTTTTTTAACTAGTGTATAAAACGTCCTACACGTTTAAGCAATTTGTAGAAATTGTTACTTTATTTTGTTTTTAAAAAGAAAAAGGCACTCGGATCTGGAAACACTTGTTTTTTATACTTTGTTTCTTTTTTAATATCCAGACCTGGAACAATGTTAAATCCAATCCAATATTTTCTTAGACTGTGGTACTTGTACACAAAGGAGTGCAAGCAGAGGTTTACACACCCTGGAAAAAGTATTATAAATTATGATAAGTCTGAATACAAAAGTTTTTATATATAAAATAACTAAGTCAACACATTTTCAATTAATCTTGAGGCAGAAGGATGTTTTTCCTCTATATTGTGTTTTACTGGTGTTTTCTTTTTGTTACATTTATTGTGTTTGGAACAATACATTGACAATACAAATTAAACAAACAACTATATTTATGCTGTATATATATATATATATATATATATATATATATATATATATATACACACGA